CACTTTATTTCAATTTATCCTTGAAAAATGATACTGTGATTGTAATACTTTCAAAATAAAATGCTCTATTTATTGATATAATTCCATATATAACATACACTTTCACCAAGAGGGTGAAGGTCTGAGGGTGAGGGAGGGGAACCTTTTTGTTCAAGCATGCCCATCAATCACACAACCTCACTGTTTAAAGTGAGGCTGAATGATGTCCACGTGAGACAAAGTGGTCTTGTGTTGTTGTTACGTAACTTTGTGGGGGGGGAGTCAAGCCAAAATCTCACCATGGTCCTTACAATTGCTGACCTTGGTTTGTTCCGGTGTCAGCCATAACAGAGCAGCAGGAGCCATCTCTTGAGCTCTACCAAGCTTTGGTCCTCGTGCCAGTGGGGCTCCAGAGGATTCCCATGAGGCAAAACATTGCAAGCATTGAGGGGGAAAAATAGATACAAGGAGATAAACAATCTTTTTTTGTCTTTTTTCTTTTAAATAATACCACAGCAAGCAATAAGGACGCAGTATTTATAGTAACGATTAAGTCATAGCCCTGCTGAAATCCAACACAAAGTAGTTGCTACTTATCACGGAATATATCTGTATAGATAAATGTATGTTTCTTGTCAGACATAGAAAAAGCGCAAAGTGCAATAATTAACTTAGTTTAAAAAAAACATGAAATTTTAAGGCTTGATCAGTGAATGAATTCAAGTGCTGAGGATACATAGCGGAGAGCCCTCTTCAGGGTAAGTCTGTATATCTACGGAGCGCTATTTTGAAAAGTATGCTGTCTGAGGGCTGAAACAGAGGGAGCTAGGACAGGAACAGCTCTTTCAGAAGTAAAGGAGGTCAGCTATGGCAGCGGGCAGATGCGTCATCAGCTGCACTCTGATCCACCAGTGTGGCTCCATGGGGTTGTATCGCGTGTAAGGACGCTTCGACGTGATGGCATCAGTGATGTCATCCAGAACGGGGGCCACATCCTTCTGCCCGCTGTTGCAGTAAGAGCGCATCAGAGCCATCTGCTGCTCGAAGTGAGCTTTCTTGTAATCCTCCTTCACATTCGAGGGCGCCTCATTCCACAGCTTATTGGCCGTGGTGGCCACAATGTCGCGGGTCAGGATGCCCGTGGCCACGATGAAGTTCCCCGGTTCGATTATGGACACTTTTACTCCCCAGGCCTTCATCTCATAGCGGAGGCAATCGGAAAAAGCTTCCACGCCGTATTTAGATACACAGTAAGGTGACCGCATGACGTTAGCCATCCTTCCGTACATGCTGGCCAGGTTGACAACACGGCCTGCATACAGAGATACAGGCAACAGAAATGCAGTCAGGCTCCTGCAACCGAACATCTGAGAACATTTCTCTGAATGAGCAGTATGATGCCATGACAATTTAATGCAGCACGGCCAGTAATAACATAATGTGAAATTAAATTAAAGCTTCAAACTCAAAGCCTGTTAGGCCTCCAGGTCCAAAGTTCAACTGCCTTTAAAGACTTTCTTAACAAGAAAGCCTGGAGCTGCGCTTAGATTAGCAAATAATTTAACTACATCACACTCTTGGTGAGGGGTCACTCATTGCAAAAGTATTAAAAAGCAGTGCTCCACACTGCTGTTCTGCTCATAGTCTTTGTCAAAGACAACTGGCTTTGACATTTGCATATTCCGAATAGTGAGCAATTAAGTTTTCTATTTGCTTTTTTTCTCCACTTTAAAACATTATTACGAAGTTGTTACTGCACCAGCTGTGGAAGGAACAAACAGTCAAAGTCCACACTGCTACTCTGCTTTTAAATGTCAGCTAAAAACACACATTTCTAAAGTGACTTTTAGATGACTTGCATGAATTTATAACTGGAATGTATTATAGAATTTCTTTTTATTTATTTGTTTGCCATTTTATCCTGTTTTACTTTTCATTGTATATTTTATCACCATGTTTCTTGATTAGGCAATTTGTAACTATGTTAAGAAAAGTGCTATAGAAAATAAAGTCATTTTTAATGTTAAAAGCTTAATCTTACATTATGGAGAAAGGCTTTAAAAGCGTCCTTAAATGTCAGGCTTGTTTGCATTGTTAGCTTTCCTCACAGAAATCATGGGGCTCAACTTCTAATGGCTGCACCATATTCTTTCGAATAGTAACTCTAACAATGCTTATAATCCTCCATAAAAAATGTCTGGTAACAAAATGAACCAAGTGAAATCTAAGGTGCTTGTCTCTTTAAGATTTCTGCAGTTTGGCACATTTAACTTAGTCGTGTTTATATGTCACCAAATGATAATGTAAGTAAGTAAGTAAGTGTAAGTGTTATTTTCCAGCTGCTGACCTTTGGCTCTGCGGATTAACGGCAAAACAGCTTTGGTGACCCTGATGGTGCCCCAGAGGTTGACCTCTGACACCTGCTTATAGGTGTCCATCGAAGTAAACTCCACCTCTCCGAACGTTGACACACCAGCGTTGTTCACCACAGCCCACAGACCTGGTTCATGACCAGTGACAGATGTCATAGAGGGGGGAAAACAGTCTGTGAATGATCACACACACACTGACCTTCTATCCAAGTTAGTGAATACAGGTGAGATATTGCAGTACCTCTCTCTGAGTCTTCCAGGTTGTCTCTGATATACTCCACAGCCTGGTTCACCTGCTCTTCGCTGCAGACATCCAGCTGGACTACCTTCATACGATCTGAATGAAATTCCTCCAGTTCCTTTGCACCATCTCCACCTTTATCCTGCAAGGACAACGTGTCTCCTCACTTACAACAACTCCTGACATTAACATGAAATTCATCCGATTTAATTGTGCAAAGGAATGAAAGTAATTTAATAGGTTTTTTCAAGCCCAGAGACTTCTCTTTCCAAATCAGAAGTCAAGGTGAGCTACAGAAATAAGAAAGCTGGTGTAGTCTAGGTCATCCCTGTTGAAATGTTCTGCATCTAACGGGACATGTCACAGTCACACATTTCAACTCAAAATGAGAGGTCCGTTTGAAAATGAGTCGAGCCAGCACCTTTTGCAAAAATGTCAAGGTGGGGTTTATAGTTCTGTTGTGTTAAATGAGTACTCACTGCATATTTGATCTCCTACCTTCAGGAGACATCCAGCGAAAACGGTGAAGCCAAGCGTGTGCAAATGTTTGGCAAGAGCGTGACCAAATCCACTGTCACAACCTGTAATAAACACAGCCTTCCCCTTCACCTGCAGTGAGGGACAGAATATAGTAAAGGCGTTTGTAGTTTTTTTCCCAAGAGAAATATAAACCTATAAAGATAACATAAAAAAAGCTAACATACTTTAACAATATCTAATGTAATACAATTTAAATATGCCAAAATAATTTAAAAGGGTTGCCTATATATGTCACGTGTATAAAATTAACAGGACGTCTGTTAGGTTGTAATGTACAAAACAAACCATTTGACTATTTACAAGCATTTCTATTATCCCGTGTTACTGTATTTCCTCTAAGTTACGAGGGGTTCATTAATCTGTGGGAGCTACATGCCATATTCAACTGATGCTGTGATGTTTGCATCCTCCTAAAGTGTGTTTTATGATAATATACTGTAGCCTATAAAGAACATTTGTTCACTTTCGAGTTGGAAACAACAGTCCATATTGCGAAATTACCTCCACCAATCCTCTAGGAATTCGTGGCGTCGCAACATACAGCACAAAAAGTAAATACACGGCAATTATGCACTCGGAAACGCTCGTCTCGGGTAATCCCAACATCCTCATCGCTGCGTTCAGCAGAGCAGGCAGTCCAAAACCCAACGCAACGGTCAGAAACACTGAAAACGACACAAGAAGTGTCACTCGGAACACGGAGAGAGAGGCCATCTTGACGGAATGGTGTGTTTACTTTCCTGGCGGGGAAGTCCACATCGCCCACCGCTGGGTCACGGCACGCCCCCTGAATCACACAAGATCCCCTGGGCTGCATTCAGGTTAACGGAGAGTTCGGGAAATATAGTATTATAAAACAATAGTTAGGAAAAACGTGTACGCTTTCGGTTGCTATCATGTTAAGCCTTTCGTCAGTCAACTTACCCCGTTATTAATGTTTTTGTTTAGTAAAACTAAAGTTTGTAACAGTTAAGATGTAACGTTATTGTAACGTTAACTTCCCACAAAATAATGTACATACATTGAGCTAGCGTTTGCAGTGTCCATACATTACGTCTAAGGAGTTAGTCTAGTGCAAAATAAGAGGTGTGGATTGCTGAATTTCTCAGAAGTTGATAGACTTTATTAAAGTCCGGTCCGGCCGTCAACGGGATTTAAGGCGAAAACGGAAGTGACCAATAGCGAAACCTCTTGCATCAAACCCCCCAAAAATTCCACAATTACATTGAGCTGCTCTCAGTTAACTGTCTGTGTACCACGGATTATTAGGGCCACATTAATGGGGGGAAAATGAGGATTAAGATTTTTTTTTAATTTGCATTGCATTTCGAGAATAAAGTGGAAATGATACATTTCGAAATTAAATTACTGCTGGGTAACTTCGAAATTTCAATAGCCTTATCTTATAATAAATCAAAGTTTATTTGTTGATTATATTTTGTATTATTAATCGGAATCCAGAAAGTAACTTGTAACAAAATTTATATAGGCTACATGTTGTGAAGTAAACCTAAACTGTACTTGAGTAAATGTACTTCGTTACTTTTATGTGTCTGTTTGTACATAATGAGTTAGCTCATGTACAATTCCGTGTTCGCAATCTCACCTACAGTATGCACAATTATTCTCCTGTAGCTCCGAGTAGTTCAAGAGTCCAAACTAGTTTTTAAAAAAAAAAAAAAAAAAAACACAAAAACCAACTGTAGCCAGAAGGAGTTGGCTGCGTTGAGTGTGCACACCCAGTGGGTTGAATGTCTCTAAATAATTATAACCTCATTTTACACACAAATCTAAATGAACATACTCCAGTGGTATAAGTTATTAACTTATGTTGAAAAAAAAAAAAGAACACACACCTGAGCAATGTCAAAACTTTGAAAGATGATTTTTAATATCTCCAGATGAAAGATTTTGTAGTACAGCCCACATCCTGGTCAAGTAAAATGCTAGTGACAGAGATAGGATGACAGCAACAGAGAGAGCAAGACACTAAGGCACGAAGGATCAATATGCATAGCTAAATGACCATACCATGGCCTTTATAAGTGCTGTAAACATGTTTTCATATCTATGTTAAATGTTGTGATCACTCAATTCAAAAGCATGAGAAATAGATTTGAGAAAAGAAAAATGGTAAGACTGCAAAAAAAAAAAAAAAAAATGAATAAAATGGAAAAATGAAGAATGTACATGTGTAGTTTTTCTTGTTGCCTTCTTTTCAAAAACAAGCAATGTGGAGGGAAAAAAAGGAATATTGCAATTTTTTTTATGCTTCAATAAAAAGTGAATTTATGTTTTGATAAATCTTTCCTGATTTTCTTCACAGTGTAGCAGAAGAGATACCTGTGGTGGGGTAAAGTGAATAATGACAGGCTTGCATAATCTTGCCCTGTCTTTGGAGTATAGATTGGGTGGTGCTAGTAGAGGGAGAGACTGAACTCATTTCTACTTGAGAAACAGGCAAAATGGAAAACTGACCTGTTTTACAGTATTTTCTTGAGACCTGTGGTGATAGTTTTTTAAACTGCAAGTGCTCTTTTGATATCCCGCTTCTTTATTTGAGGAAAGTATCAAGCTTCCTCTTGATATTGTCAAATGAGTCCATTCCAAGGTAGTCTGCCTGACCTTGCTCCCACTTCTGCTTCCGTTCTTCGGAGGACAGCTGGGGTTCGAGTGCTTCTGCATATGAAGAAGGGCTCTCACCCTGAGCAGAAATATAAAATCATTAGTGAAACAAAGAGCTAGAAAACAGAAAAACAAATCAATGACGAGACAGACAGCACAGAACACTTCCTTTGTTGCTTATTGCTTTTTAAAAAGCACTGAAGTTGCCATACGTAGCCTTTTTAAATTAATGGCCACAGGCAAACACACACAAAAGCTCTGATTTTAGAGAAAGAGTAGTAATAGCATTAAACCAGGTGCCAACAAACTGTTATTGACTGCTAAGCTATAACAAAACCAAACCCATACCTGTCCACTCTCAAAAGTGACCATGTCACTGTACTGGAACTTTATGAGATGAAACGGAAGACAGAAAAGGAGGTGTATCATCCACAATCAGATCAATATAACATGGATGAAAAATAAATTAAAGGGTGATTCAAACATACAGTATTTTCATGCATTGCAAGTACCACAAATCAACACACCCTTTTATTTTTCATAGAGCTGGACAACCAGGAGACCTTGTTCAGTGTGTCCACGGTGAACAAAGTTGTCAGCTGTGAAATATTGGAAACGTCAAAGTTGGAAAGCGGTTTGATTGGCAGCAAGTTTCATTGGCTTGCAGACTTGACAATGAATGTGAGAACATGTCAAGCTACAGCTCTGAAATAATTTCTTGCAAGCTAGCCATATCATTGCAATGCCATACAGTGACATTGTAAAAAATAAATAAATAACAAATAAGGACAAACCAAACGGCATTTGACAGTTTAAAAAGGGTTTAAGTCTCCAACTCTGCCCATTATCTGATGAAATAGACTAATATACCAAGTTGCTTGCACTGTAAATGCAGAGCTGCAGGTCTCAAAACAAATGTGTTGATTCACCTCCACACATCCAGAGTGGAAAGGCTGGTCTCCATATTGCTCCTGCAGCATTGGCACCACAGTGCTGGAGTACAGGGTCCACCAGTCCAGTAAGAAGGTGGGATGTGTGGTGGCCTCATGCACACTCCCTGTGATCCGTTTGGCTTTGGTGTCAAATGTGTAACTCCATGGCTTGGTCTTCCCCAGGAAATGGACCACCTTGGCGTTGCCTCCATATCTGAGATGAGTGGTATAGTAAATGAGAATTAGCTTTTTGGTTAGATTTAATGAATTACATTTCTTTTTTGTTTTTTTAATCATTTGTCTCCTTCAGCCCTTATGGAGCTACATAATGGACTTGTTCAAACAATATTTCTTAGGAAACATAGCATAATTGGAGTTTATCATCATAAAATGGTCCCACATTAAACACAACATTACATAACAAGACTGGGTCTACAACTATGAACTGACGCTAAAGGGTAATCTGCTATTTAGCTAAAATGCTAAACTACTGTAACAGTAACAAGTGAAAAAAAAAAAAAGTCAAATTCAGTAAACGAACTTAGTTATACAAACATTTAACTAAAGTTAGCTAACATTAGCCACCTAAGGCTAAGCTACTAAGCTTGTGGCCATACCAGATAAACCTACGCTATAAGAGCAAAACCACTAAGAGCACTGAATTGAGAAATGGTGCGTTTCAGTGCCTATAAATTAAACTTTTCTGTTTGTAAGAGGAACAATGTTTTATCAATCTAAATGGTCTGGCTTTAAAAAATAAATAAATATTTTTTATATATAATATTTGTGTATTCAAATTTCTTTCAGTTTTTCAGATTAATGTAGGAAAAGAAAATGAAGAGTCAAAAATGCTACCTGCTAACTTAAAAACAGCATATGTCTGACACAGCCAGTGTGGTCTGTAAAATGATCAATTTCAGTCTGCAGTAAGTTTCATTTTACAGGTTGCCAAGCAAGCAGATGAACACATTTTTATAATGTGAATAGAACAACGTTTATATGGAGTTTTGGAAAAGCTCTGTTGTCCGCCATTTATTATTCTAGTGGTAATGGCCTACATTATATTAAATTGTGACTAGTGTTTTGGCATATACGAATAAATATGAATCTGGCCATGTGGGCTTTGTTTTGTTGCGTTTGCCAGACCTCTTAAGCGCTACCATTGCTGACAAATACCAACAAGTAAATACACATTTATCCCCCCTTGTCATCCCGTTTTGGATGCCAGGAAATGCCAAACAAGAGCTTGTTGATGAGGGTTGTTTCTATGGGAGGAGAGAGGTTTAGACGCAGAGAGGGAGTGAGAATGGGAAGGGGAGCTTAAGATTGAGTGCACAATGATCAGTCCTGGAGGCGAAACATAAAAAAGGTCTTTAAATAACCCCCTCTATTTTAGGATTTAGTTTCAGCTGTTGGGAGCTCAGTGGTGGATATTCAACCCAGAGTTGAGGCCTGGTGGGGGATGCTCCGGCAGAGCCGCTGGAATCTCACTCGTAACCTGGTGTCATATCACGATGTGACTACACACTCATGTGATCGAGTATCTGCTTACACCTTGGCTTTGTATCTAGATTTAAGTCACATTGACAGACTCTCTGTAGTAGTATAATAAAACTTCTTGTGGAAGCATACTGTAGTAGAACAAACCTAAATGAAATGTTCAATTCTTGAATTGAACATTGATTTCTTGAGTAGTTTGAAAAACTACCTTGTGAATGCTATTCCAAAACATGACCTCCTTAGTAGACGGGCACTTACTGCTTGAAGGCTGGAAGGTAAGTGTAGATGGCTATGCTGCTGAGGTTGTAAATGAAGGGGAGGTGTTTTGATATGTCAGCTGTAGCCCAGTTGCTGAAGAAGTCATTCAAAACACCTTGGTCTCCTCCTGCAACAAGGGGGAGAATCAATACAAGTATATTAACAGCATACTGTACTTAATCTGTATGTATCTGCAGTTTCAGGCATGGTTAATACTGAAACCAATGAGAGGGGGATGAACTGTAACACTTCTGGAGGTTTAGAATTTAACGAAGACTACAACTTTTAACTTGCACTTCTGCATAAGTAAGCAGTAACAAGATGTTTTAAATTCACTTTGAAGGGCATTTTCAAAAAATGTTTTTCATTGCTGGAAAACTTTAGGTAACTTCAGGTGTCAATGTGAGGTCTAAAGAGACAGGAGTACTTTTTTGATTAATGTATTTGCATTAGTACATTGGACACGATGTGAGAAACTCTGTTATGGGGGCGTTAACAGCCAACTTGGTTTACAAAATGTGAGTGAGTTTCATGATTTTATATTTCAGTGGAGACTTTAACACGAGTACACAACGATGGGGACTTGTGTATCTGTGGGGACAATTATTGAGGTCTCCATGGGTAGAGACTGCTTTTTTGGTGGGTGTGTGTGTGTCTTATATGAAGGGTTATTTTAGCTTATCCACCACAGCAGTGAGGATTTACTCACTCAAATTTGACAAAGATTGATTTCCTGCTGTTTCCTCGCCGACCTCCAATACTCAGTTCAAAGTCAAAATCTGCTCGGCAAAAAACAAGAAGCCTTTCAGTAGGCTGCATCATCATGCTTGCTAACAGATGGCAATGCTGGTGTGATTGCTCCATTTTGCACTTACATCCCTCATTGTTGTCAGTCAGTGGAGCTAAATGATTCAATTCCTCACTTGAACATTGAGTGGTCTGGGTGTGAGAGACACTGGATTTGTACATTAAATGCAAGACTGTACACCATGTCTTGTAACGTCTACACCAGTCAATATTAAAACCTCTAAACAAATAAGTTGCTGCATAAGCTGCACCACCTACTTTAATGTAAAGGGGTAGAAGAGCGTGAAAGTTAGCAACCATATTTGTATTCCATATGAATATTTAAAATTTTGAGAGAACTTGCAGTTGTCACAGTCATCACAGTCCTTGTGACGCCAACTGAGAAGGTATTCAACATTTGGGTGTGGTGATCACCTGCCATGAGGTTTGTTTATTCATCCAGTAAAATGGAGCAACATTAGTATTCACCTGGAGTCTTATTTTCAGTTTATTTATACAATTTTCTTTGATGCACTGTGTTCACCTGCAAACTGTCTGTCATGTGGTGCTGGGCAGGTAGCATACAACAGGTTTATTGGAGCTGAAGTCATCCCTTTTCACATGGTGCAGTGGATAAGACATGATGTGCCTTTGGTGTGGAAGACCTGGGTTTGATTCCCATCGCGACACATCCACGAACTTAACCCCTAGCTGCTCCAGTGGCGTGCGATCTCTGATCAGCAGTTGTATGTCGCTTTGGATATAAGAGTCAGCTAAATGAGTTAATGTAATGTGACATTTGTTGTTAAACAAAGTAATTTGATTCAATGCTGAAATAGACAGTGATTTGGGAAGCAAATATTTTATTTTAACTTTACATATCAAGCATTTAATATCAACCGATATGCTCCAGCCCTACGGTGCAACAGAAGAGAGTTAATCACTTTAAGGTGTGGTTGCACCCTGGACATGTAGAAGCTCCTTTTATTGTTTATACTGTACATTTGGCATACTTTAAATTGTCTTGAGCAATTGAATCACGGCGTAACCAGTTTGAGAAAATAAGACATCGTGGGCTAAAATCTAAGAGTGAATAAGAATATATTTGAACGTACTGCCCATTTACATGATTTAGAGTTGGTTAATTAGTCTAACAACGCCTTAAATTAGCTCTGTGTCAAAGGGGTGCATCATATTGCACAAGTATACAGTATGTCATGCAATATATTTGCACTTGTGGTGCATCGTTGCTTAGACTCCAATGCGCAGTTTGATATGTTCACGATAAAGCCTGGGCCTAAATACCATTTTGGTACCATTCAAAATGTGTCCAGTTACTAAAAACTGTACCCAGAGCTGGCATGGAATCTCTGGTCAGATTCGTACTTGTCATTTCTTATTCTTTGAATCACAATTTCAGACTCCTATTTTACATAGTTCTTGTACAATGTCTTGTCTTTAGACAATATTAACCATTTTAGAAGTTTGGTTTATTTTATTACATGAATAAAGGGTTTTGTAGAAAATGTGTATGCAAGACTAAAAAAACCAAAAAGTATAAATTTTTGCATTGGCATTGAAACCCAGTTATTGTATCTGCACTTTTTCTAAAGATCCCCAGCCCTATTCATGACTACTCAACTTTAAATAATACAACTAGACACAAGTATTTAAAATGTTTTGTCTCCCTTTCTGTGCTGGTGACTTGAATTAACATTGCCCTCTGGGTCAACACTCATTTTAAAAGTTTGCACTTGAGTTGCCTCAGGTTCTAGGGGCCCCGCTGGAGGGCTAGACAGCCACTCGCTCAATTTGGCTAATTTAGAACTGGGGCATTGTCATGGCTTTGCCTTACGTAAACACAACTCAGAGGACAATTTCGGGCGCAGGGATACATTGGACGTTAAGTAGGTCAGTTAAACTTCAAGGATAAAACCAAAATCGGAATTGAGTCTTATTCCGTTTTCTGTTACATCAAATCTGCAACTGAGCAGCCTAAACACTGAATTTTGAAGCCAAGCAAAAAAAAAAAAAAAAAAAAAAAAAAAAAAAAAAAAAAAAAAAAAAAATGACACAAGCTCATTGACTATTCATGCCGAAATGCTTCACCCAGTAGCCATATAGTAAGTCATTTGACCAATTCTGGCACAAGATGAGATGTTGGCCTTTAATAGAACTTTCACATGCAGCTCCTAAAAAGAACAGGACTGTACAGTCTATGAAACCGCAGACTGCTGCAGTTTAAAATAACACACATAGCTGCCGTTTGTCCGGACCCATAACCTCCACCGGGGATTTCAAAACTTAATATGGGGCCGAGGATCTTCATTTTGAGGGGATGAGCAGAGCTCAGCAAGAATGTGCATCCAACTCTGCCAGTTTGTCTTGGCAGCAGACAACACTGGCGCTACAGATTGAGAGATAGAGCCTCGGGGTTCAACCACAGAAATCATTTTCTTGTTCTCTTTCCTCAGCTATTTTTCAATATCATCCATGAGGTGCAGCGCGACAGAGCTGCACGTGTACATCAGGTCTTCCTTACAGTAGAGTGGAAGTGAAATGCTAAAAATGTCAAAGAGATTTCAACTCATGCCCCAGTGCACATGAAAAGACCATCCATGGCTATAAATAAGAGCTTTAAAAATCAGGCATACAGACTCTGGAATCACACTGAAATAATGGATATAAAAATAAATAAAATGATGCAGGCTTTCATGGAAAAACTAAGACAATAGAGTCTTTTGTCCAGTTGTGATTGTGATGGAAGAATTCTTGCCAACAAACACTTGTGGCAGCCAGAATGAGTCGGCACTTGAAAGTGTTGGCCACTATTAAGCAAACTAATTGGTTTTTCCAATGAACTCTCCCTGATGGAATCTCTTTCGCAGTATCACAAGGAAAACAGCTTGTTGTTTAAGGTTAAAAAAAAAGAAAAAAAAAAAAAAGAAAAAAAAAGGGTCTCACTGCTGCTAACAAGGACAAGCACTACTATGGTTTGCATCCCGTTTTGTTTATTCCACAACCGTTTCCTTTGTTCAGTAGCATTTTTGAGGTCACAGCATCGTGAGGACACAATTAGTTCAATGAGAGCCCAACTGGTATATAGGCAGGGGTGATTTTAGCTAAATCACAGACATCATGAGCATGACAGGTCTTATCGTATTTTTAGTTTCATTTTAATACTGATGCTTCTATGACCTACAAAAGCAAACGAGATGCGAGTTGGGTCCGATTCCCCTCAAAATCGGACATCTCAAGGCAGTCAACATTGAATGGTATCGAGGACCACAAGGAAAATAAGTTTGTAGCTTTCTTGTGTTATCCTCAACAGTCCTGATAAATTTGTATTGTCACTGTGTTGGCATCTTTTTATGTATTTATTTGCGTCACTGTACAATAAAAAAAAAAAAACAATGGTGTTTTCTCAGGTGCTATCGTCACCCAACAAGAGAATGAAACTTTGGTCACGTGATTAATAAGACCTTGATATGTAGTTGAAAGCTCTGGGGGGAAAAAAGCAAGTATGTGAACCTTGAGTTAAGGAGAGTTTGTCAAAAAACTGTATGGTATTTTGTATTGGCTCATCATTGTCTGATAAACAAGATGTAACAGTAAAGATGTGTTTGAGGTCAATTTGAAGCAACATTGCCATTACATAATTTGTCCAGCAGAGAGCACTGATTGAGCGTTTATATAATCAACTGTACAATGTCTTTGTTAGTCACAATTTGTTACAAATTTAGGCTATTTATTGATATCTGTCTCAGTCATCTAACATGACAAGTTCATAGTGTCAAGATAGAAAAGTATAGTAGTCTATTAATCCATGTACGATATGAAATTTATTATGAGTTATCAAGTCCCAGGTTCTGCATTTATATTTGTCAAGTTGAATTCTAAGCTAGTATATTTAAAAAAAAATGAAAAAGTATGCAAAGCTCGACTGACCTGCTAAAGTATACAATTACGTTACCCCAAAGTGTTTAAAAAGGATATTTATAAACATTACCATGAATTAATGTTCTGGCATGCTAAGTCTTTACTGGATACTTAGGAGTGTTTTGTTTAAATTGGAAAGCAAAAGGTGGTAAAGGTGAAGTACAGAGATCCACAGCACCCTACAAATTGGCCAATGAGCTTTCCAGCCGCTGATTCGCGCCGTTCAGTAAAGGTGATAAGTTACAGTACACCTCAAGGAGAAGAGTTGTTGAATGTCAACCGGTGCTCTGTGCAAAACAGGGCCTCTCAAATTTAGCCTCCACCCCACCCCGACAAGCCCCTGAGAATAACTCAGCAGAACTAGACGGTCTGTGACAGGAGGAGGCCTTGTGTCCAGGCACCGGGCTCGATAAAGGCCTTACTTAGAGCAAAAGATAAACAAGCTCAGTTTAACATCATGTTACCAAGAACGCAGTGTTACACAAAGCTGGTCAAAGCCTAGATGTTTGAGTAGGACTCAAAAAAGATCGCCAACATCAAAACCAGAAATACTTGCAATTCTAGAAATATTGAATCTTTGCATTTGGCAATGAAATGTGAAGTGTCTATTAAGGGAAACCTATAAATGACACATATTTTATCTGATACCAACATGTAGAAAAATCTTCAAAGGATAACTGACAACAACATTTATTGAGTTCAAGGAATAGTAACATTTATTCACTTTACTTTCGTTTGATTTCACTCTTATTTAGTATATGTCCGTTAAATATGAAGCTACAGCTAGGAGATGTTAGCTTAGCTTAGGATAAAGACTGGCTTACCCCAAAGGTTAAAAAATAATGAAATCTACCAGCCAGCAGCCATAAAGCTAACCAATTAACATGGTTATACATTGTACATGGTTAAAACGTACAAAAAAGCAACGTTTAAGAAAGTTTTGGTTTTATAGTGGTTATATTTTGTGCTAGTATCAATCTTCTCATCTACCCCCTCAAAAAACTATTACCTAACCTAACCATAACCTTTAAATAAAGAAGGGCTGCTAATGATGGATTAAACTATTTTAATGAATGGTTTGGTCTGTAAGATGTCGTTCTGTCCAACCAACAGTTCAAAACCCATTCATTTCCAATATTAGAAAAACATCTCATTTCAAAACTAAGAATCAAAATGTGTTCTTATTGACCTACCATCAAAGCTGCCGTGTTCTGTACAATGCTGAAGCAGTTTGCCGTAAGTCTCCATAGAAGGACGAAAAACAAACACGCCAGAGTTGAAGCAGTCAGGCCAGCCAGGGTCGGGAGCAGCTGACAACTCTTCTCTGTCAAACAGCTCATCTATATTTGAAAGCACCTGGGACGCAGAATCAAACAAATACAGACAAACCTGTTCATACACGTACAGTTACAGAACAACATCTTAAACTTTTCTTGCTCAATCAAGACTCACCAGTGTGTCTGCGTCCATGAAAACACATTTGGAGTAATGTGTGAGAGTCCAGCAGTGGAGTTTGGTGAAGGTGATGCCCAGGTCAGGCCTTTTCATCATAGCCAGGTGTGCCGTGTCGCCACTGTCCAGCACGTCCACCACCTTCACCTCGTCAAAGATTCTCTTCAGCACGGACCTAATGAGTCACAACACTATGGAATGAACCATCATCAACAATCCAGGTGGAAAATAGGACTTGACAAGAATGCAAACCGGTGTGAATCAGACATTTTGTACCACTGGTTGGAGCTAAGGTTTCTTACTGGCAAGGCTCTGCCACTTGTGGACCAATGAGTGCCACTAGCTTCTTGGATGTGTTGTGGTTGCGGAGGGACTTTCCCAAAACCATGGCTCCCCGAGCATAGTTGTCATTGGTAGCCAACGTCACAAAAGCCTGGTCTGTAGAGGAAAGAAACGATAAAAGATGCGTTTGATGGTAGACTTCTCATCTTAGACCAGCGTGTCCTGTTTGACGATTATCTAACCGAGTTTCTTGGATTTGACTCAACAAAATCAAGCAAACATATTTCATTACAATATGCAAGACAGTGAGCTCCAGTAGTGATGAAGCACAATCGATAAATGTTGAGTCCAACAAGTAGCCTTTATCATTTGTCTGTCAGATGCTGAGACATTAATTTGTGTTTTGACAAGTTCTTCTGCTGTTTAAATACATTTTGACTGTGCTGCAAAATTTTTTTAACGTAAGGTCACATCTTTCCTGTTTTGCCAGTCCTCTGCAAGAACATGAAGCATACACTGAACAACAAATCTAGCCCCAAACTTAAAGAGTAAAAGCAATAGTTTCCCCCTCTCGAGGAAAGAAGTAGAAGTATTTCTGGGTGCATCCTTTGATATCTGAAACAAGTAAAAACACCTGGAAACTTAATGTGCCAATAAGTTTAATACCGTACACTGAACAATAATCTCTACAAGCACACAATAAGCACTGTGGTCTGGCATCAAGGGAAGATTTCTCACTTGTGTTTAGATAAATAAGACTTTTGTAGCCAGTCCCAGATAAAATCTCATTAAGCTGCATTTTATTTGCAATGTGGTGCCTACTCTGTACCACCATCTGACAGCACAGAGGAAAAAAAAAAAATCAGCAGTCAGCTACCTGCCAAGTCATGTGTCAGAACCATAGACTGTATGGTCAGAACAATGACTAGCCTGTGAGAGAACATATAAAACTCAGATGGTGAAGTCAGCATGGCCTCTGGGGAGGTTATGGGACTGTAGCATGTGGGCCAACATGAGTCCCGCTTGGACTGTATATTAACACATTGGTTCTGTACTACCATGAACGGGCAAAGAAAGTAAAACCGCAGGTATAGTGGTGCTGCATGTGTAAAATGTTAGTGTGCTTGTAGTTTCTTTAACTTTGAGCCAGTCAGTCAGAGTTGCCAGGAAAAGTTGCTCAAGTCTCACTGGCTGCACACAGCAACCACACCCCCCTTTTCAATTACAACCAGTGCTGTAGTATTAATGTTGCCTATCATAGCAAATAAAGTTAAGAAAAAAAGTGAATTTAGTTTAAATTAGTTTAACTACAGCCTAGGCTCAGAGAATGTTTGATGACACACAATAGCACATAGTGCTTTCAAAACTAAGGACAAAGGATGTCAAAGGGATCCCGTGCTAAATGATTGGATTTTGCTTTAATTTCATTCATTAGAAGTTGTCACCAGGAGAAAATACAAGCCTACAGTTCACTCATTGATATGATTTAGACATGGTTCATATGACTAATGCAATGTTAACTGATTTTCCTCAACAAGACAAATGGAGTGGACCCACAGTTGTAGAAGCTAACTGGTGGTCATTTGGCTGTCATATATGGTAATCATGTTTCAGGTATGGCTGACAGCTTGAATGTCTTAAGGTAAGTTAGCTGGTCACTCTACAGCAAAACACAGATGGAGACAGAGTGTACTTTTACTCTGCCCACTTCGGGAGGCTGCTGCTGTACAAACATTACAACCAAACGAGAGACAGAGATTCAAAGCAATCCACTTTAACGACAGACTGCCATTGTCACAACAGTAGCACGCTGATATTTAGGATAACACCGCAAAAGTCCGCGAAACTTTAAAATTCACAAAACTTTACGTTTTAGCATGACCCACTAATTAAGAACAAGTAATATTCTCGCAGCATTTAAATGTTAAAACGTTACATACCCGCCATGACTGAAGAAGAAGTCGAAGCTACTTTGTAGCCTGGACCTTCCGTGGAGAAAAGGGCAGCTTGATACACAGAGGTGGATTTATAGCAGAGTGACAGTAGCCAGTCGCGGCGTCACGTGACGGCCTCCACACACCCACCTGCTCCCAACGTGAGCCTCCCTCCACACGCCCAGCAGTTCAGGGAGCTCAGGGAACTATTCACAGATTTACAAGTATTCATTGTAAATGTAGAGGCACAATTGGCATTTGATAAACCCGAACAGACTTATATTCTTTGTGTACTCGTTTTGTTAAGTCAGATTTAGTCTACAACTCTCAGTTGGAGAGGTGGGTGGATCCAATACTCTTGAGTCAGACACCGCTTTGCAATCCCAAAACATCCTTCTGCAGTCTTGACCTTTAAAGCAACTGTCATGTAGTGCCCTTGGCTGCTGTCATCTTCCCTCCTGATGACAATGTAGAGATGGTGATGATATTGTAATGAGGTGCTGAGATCAGGAACAAGATGTTCCACTACATACATTTGGTGTTTTGTCACCATCTTGTGGAATAAACTCAGTATCGCAAGACGGTGACAGGACAAACACAGGCGGTGGTGGAGATCCCTGGTGCTCTTGTACTGTATTACACAACAGTGAATTATTTTTAGTGGTCTCAGTAGAGCTCTTCAGTTCATTCTCAGAAGAAGTGGTGTGGTGGTACTTTTGTGGATGGGTCTAATACAAGGGGAGAGGGGTCAACTGTACCTATTTAAGTTTTATTTATATTAAATAAATATTAGGTACTTTAAATGCGCATATAATGGGATATTCCCTTGACTGCATTATTGATTTTGGAAAATTATGAACACATTAAGAGGCCCAGCCTAGCCTTGAGAAAAAAAATAGCCTAATAATATGAAACCTTTCATTTATAAAATGTTTACAAATGTGCACTGGTCATAATGTTACAAGAGCAAACACTGATATTTCAGTTCCTACCTTCTGCCTCAGAAATGTGTGCCAGTGCAGTCAGATTCCCTGCTGATCTTTGGCTCCTTTATTTTCTCCACTCAGGCAGATGCTTGGCAGAGTGGAGACGCTGCCAAGGAGCACTCTGTGGTTGTCACGTACTGTGCTGCTAGACTAAAATCCTTAAAGACTGAGACCCCCACTCGCCCAGCCTCTGCCGCTGGAACAGTGCCAGCACAACAAGGAGGATCACCAGGGTTCAAAGGGGCTGATACAGTAAATTAGCCGATGCTTTTGTGTCTTTTTAGATAGAGAAGTATTTTCTAGTTTAAGTACGCAGACACTGATGGTTCCAGGCAACACACTGGATAGTTTACACTGTTAAATATCAGTGTCTTGCTATGTTGGACCATAGCAGCACACAAGTTTTCTGGCTTGTTAGTGATGAGCTGTAAAGTGTAAGCACTATTTTATTCGCCATACATCGCTGTTTATGTTGTGTATGTTCATAGAAATGACAAAAGCTCAGTCCATCAGACACTATATTATCATGTACACATAAAAAAAAAGATTCAGCATGTGAGGATGGATCATTGATTTTATTGTTTGCACTCATCTTGACATTCTGTCAAGCACAGCGAGGAAACATGGCGGGTGGTGCCCGTATCCATGGATACTGGCTGGAGATGGCTGAGAGGTTGGAGGGGCTGGGGGCTGGTACAGAGGAGCTGAGTTGGCAGGGGTCCTGGCAGTTCCGCTCTTTAATAGAGGTTCTTCTGCACGTAGGCGGCAATGTACTTGACGGCCAGCATGGTCTCCTCGCATGTGGGCTTGATCTGAGACTCGGGCAGCAGGAAGCCATAACGACCAGTGTCACGCAACTCGAAAGTGTAGGAATACTTCACTCCCAGGTCGTAAGCCCAGTCGTCGGAGCCTCCAGCAGCAGGGTCTGAGGGCAGATAAGGAGAGGGGGATTATTCAGTGTGGGATATGCTGATGACCTGGGACAGTCATACAAAAACTGCTTTCAGGGGCCAAAACAAATGAATTTGATTGCTAGAAATAGCTATCGAAGCCATATCTGTCAAAAGAAAGTTCATGTGCATCATGAACACATCATTGTGCATATTATTAGAGGCGGAAAATAGATCATCAAGCTTCCTCTCAATGCACTATTTCCCCATGGAGACAAATGCAGCTGCAGTATTTGCTGTACTTACAGATGGTTGCAGCACCAGGTCCAGAGGTGTATCTAGTACCATACAGACTACGCAGAGCAGCAGAGGCCCCCTCAGCAACCTTCAGCTACAATACAGAGAGAGAAAAAACAAAAGTCAGATGTGTTTAAAGGGTCAAACAGGTTTTTGAGCATATAAAGTATAGGTTTATAGGTATATTCATACATATCACTGAAGACATTGATAAATCTGAGCCTGTTTTACTCCTGAAACCAGAGAACATGTACCATTTACACAGCAATATCTTTCTAAAGTTAGCTAGCATAAGATACTGGTCATACCAAACCAACTAAGGTTGTATCAGCGAAACACCTCAGTTTAATGAATAAAGCAACAATTCATTTTATTTCATCTAAATTCAACTTTTGTAACTTCAGATTTGTAAGTGTAAGACTGTGTTAGTCTGGTTTTAAAGGGAAAATACTGCCTGGCAAATACTATAAATAATCATAATCATAAGTATTACAGATGGTAGTAAGAATAGTAAATATGTGGTATTTTTGCCCTGCAGCATCCACCATTCGTTGCACTGTAGCTCAAACAAAACATTTTACTGATATTACAAAAAATAGCCAGTGACAGGAAATTAAACCCCCAGAGAAATGCACAAGCAGGAAATGATATTTCTGGGAGGACAGATGAGTTATGACAGATCCCCGGAGTTCTTTTTGTTCAGTAAAGTGTCAGAAGAGAGCTTAAATTACAAGTGAGTAATAGAGAGGCAGAGACGTGTGATCTGCCTCGGTGAGTGTGAGAGCTGGAGCAGGGGTGTGAGTGTTAACTGTGCAGTCCTCAGACGCCCCAGTGAGAAGTAAAAGAGCCATGAGAATGAGGCATATGAGCAGGGAGTAAATGATTTGCAGCAGCAGTGTGGTCTTTAGATATGAGTCAAATTGGCACTGGGTTGACTTCTTGCTTAACACCTTTAGAGATGTTATAATCAGGTTCTATTATATTCATATTATATAAGACCCTTTGCTCTGAAAGCTTTCATTTGCCACTATTCTTTGAATTGAGGTTCGCATCTCACTGTGACTGATTTTTTCTTTTAAACAGCAAATTAGTGATTTCAGATCTGCTCTCAGTAGAATCCATATAGTGACACTACTTTAACCTTTGATTCTTATCTGACGATCATTATATGAACTTTTTCATACCTATGTGTGATGCTGTTAATCTATTGCGATTATGTTACCAGCAAGACTGTAAACACAAGTCTGCCGCCCATAGCGATACAGGTGACACTGCCATGATGAATAATTATACAATCATTGTGATTGACCACGCATGTTAATTAATATTGTCACTGACCTGTCTGCCCTTTATGATAATGACAACTTACCAGTTCACCGTGGTGTGCAGACAGATCATAGGTGTAGGAGTAGGGGAATAGCAGCAGCTGTGAGTAAGAGTGGATGGTGAGGTAAGCCTTGAGGATGGACTTGTTCTTGCGGATGAAGTCAGCAACATTCTTGACCTCGATCTCAGACTCAGGAGTATAGCCACAGAAGGTGTCACTGCAGGGGTTGCTGGAGGCCCCAATGACTGCAATGAAAATTATGTTGTGGAAAATTATTAAATGAATATACAAATGTTTTTTACATCTTCAAATGCATTGTGACTGCGCTTAAAGGTGCTCTTTTAATGGTTGTACAAATTAAGTCATAGCAGCCTGTGAAAATTGTTTTATAATGTCTTCTGGAAGGAGTTTTCTACAGTCTGAGAAAATGACCGTGTCATAGTGACATCATCAGGGTCTGTTTCAGCTTGACACCCCAAATATCAAATTTGAACAGAAAGCCTGCGTTACAAAATGAGTCTGTGCAGTTTGAAAGATGTAAGTAACTATTGAAGGATGCCACCAAGTTGTATTATGGGAAATGTATGTTTTTGGGTGCGACTCATACTAGGCACTAAAAGTCAAGATATCTTGGCCTCTGCTGCACAAATTCTGGCCATTCTTTTAGAAAAAAAATCTGTTTCACATAAGCCCCCCCATCTTTACGGAAGTGCAATATAAAATTGTAATCGTGTATATGTCACACTTACTGCACCAGCCAGCGTTGAAGTTCCTGTTGGGATCGGCTCCAATGCAGCTGGATCCAGATTTCTTGGAGCGAGTTTTCCTCCACATCCTGTCCTAAAGTCCCCAAGTCGACAAAATAAACATGTCAGACATGCATTTAACAAATTAACGGATTCTTTAAGATAAACAGGACAGCGTGGTCTCTGTTAGTTTAGACTATCAATTTAGTTTTGAAGTTGGTACACACTTTCTTGTGGGTGTAGTCGTAGCCATCAATGTTAAAGACGGGCAGAACAAAGACATCCATCTGGTCGAGCAGGCTGGTCATCTGAGAATCACTGCCATAGGTGGACAGGGCCTGAGGAACATTGGAAAAAAAAGTCTGTGCTGTAATCGGTGGTAGCCTGTGTATAAATGTTTGCCATGACCATCCAGGTGCCTCCCTTACCTCATTGACAAACCACTGGCAGAAAGCAGGAGAGATCCACTCTCTAGCGTGGATACCACAATCTATGAAAATAGCGGGCTTGGTGGAGCTGGACTTCTTACCGAGCTGTGGTTGTTAAAAGTAATCACATAACATTAGATGTACTTGGTGGTATATAGATCCGAAATATGCTCAAGACGAGGGATTGATATGGCAGATAACTATCAAAATACCTTGAGAACGGTCATGGGGCGTCCCTCGTAGGTGTTTCCAATCACCTGCTTGCTGATCAGATTAGGGTTGGAGGAGGAAATGGAGGCAATCCAGGACTGGACCTGAAATGAAAAGGAGAGCAAATAAAAAAAACGAAATAGCAGTCCAGTCAGTGTAGAGATTATGACTTGGTCTTTTTTGCTTCTTACTACGTCCCAGCTGTTGTACTTGGTGTAGCTGTGGGTTCTGGGAGAGATGTTGTTGTCAGCCTGGGCATCAACAA